TTCCAGCTTTGGTAGGTATTTTAACCAAAAGTTTTGCTAGAACTCTGCATAATTTACGTTTATTCATTAATTAAAGCAATAAAATTACATTTATAAAGATTTCGAATCTACCGATTTATCATCAGTATTATAAACAGAATAAAGTAAGCAGACCTACAGATCGTTGTGAAAACGAAATTATGAACTTGCACTATTCTCTACAATGCAGATACAATTTTATTGTTATTCTTTTCTGTTCTCTATAAATCAAGAAAAAAATATATGACAAAAGAAAAGGAGAATTGATGGTGTAGCGGTTGAATATCTAACCGAATACAATATATATAAAATTATGTATTTCTTTTCGTCATATAGTTAATATAATGTATCAGTTGAATATCGACCAGAGACGATTAGAAGAATTTTTTATGATTTTGAATATTGTCAACTATTTCTATGAGTTTATGATGTGTTGAAGAAATACAATATGATCATGTAGATTTTCTAATCTATTTTTATTTCTTCATCGCATTGCTATCAAACCACAACACTGTAATATCTTCTCTCGTTAATTTTAACACATTCGATATCAATTTGGGATTGTCATTGTTTATTGGATATTTAGGTCTTTTTTTTAACATGTGACGCCGTCATCACTAATTTTTTTTTTAAACTTCTCATCAATATATTAAAAATCTACGATAATAAATAAACATAGCAATAAAAGGTGGATAAATCGAGGCAGGTCCCGTTGTATGTCCATGAGAAAAAAAGAGAGCAGATTAATTGAAAAAAATCCATTAGAAAAAAAAAGAGTCTACATTAAAGAAAATATTTTTACAGAAACAAAGATTGAGTGAGGTAGTGATATGTGTGTATAATAGATGACAAAAGGAAGAGACGTAAACTTAGTAATCAGTACATTGATCCATGTGTGCCAGTGGGATAAAAGAAGACAGTAATAATAGGGGCTTAAGGCATTAATAAAGTGCAGTATTCCTGAAAAAACTTCAATTAATTGCTCAACTGGCAGTTGTCTAATTATTGCATCTCTTAAAAGCAGCCGATCGGGGTGAATTCTGTCACAATTCAACAGCACTCTGAGTTTTTCGAAACGCTGGTTTCTCTCTCTCGTAATGTAAGCAGAATAAAAAATAATGAGTAGTACTTTCCTTCTCTCCACAAGAACAAAGTGGGTATGGGACGAGATTACGGTGATATAAAGGCTCCTTCAGCTGAGAAAAATCAACACAAAGACGGATATAGTGAATGTCAAGTCAACGCTCCGACACTAGTCGTAGTTTAAACGAAGAAATAAAGTCAATCGTCATTTGTTCATTTTAAAAGTATCAGCCCGACAAGTATACTTGATGTCATCCCCTCTATCTACGACCTGTCTACCTCGAGGAATAACTGAGATCATGTTGCGACTAACGCTGCGAGTAGCATAAGTCAACCGCGTATTCACGGGTTTTAGTTCCTTTAGATAACTAGCTGTTTTTCCATACATTATTTTGTGAAACAAACACAGTCATGAATTTTTCTGCCTTGTGTAGAGAGGCACAGGCTAAAGAAACTAAAAAGTTTGAAGTAGAATAAACAATTGATCAGAAATACAGGAATGAAGAGGTGACTATCAAACTCGTAGTTCTGTCTTGTCGCGCTCCATAATACACGTACAGCAAATATACGGAGATGAAATTCTATTTCGACTTCTCGTTTCTTCATTCAAACTCAACCTTCAAACTTGATAAAGAGGCTAAAACAAGAATTCATTAAATTACTTCTTGACGAACAGTAAGGATTCATACAGAAGAAAATATCCGACCGTACTTTATTGAGCTAATCCATTACTTTTCTTTCAAGCGAAAATTAAATAGACGGGCCCAAAATCATTACTCATCTTTTTGATCAAGCCATTTTAACAAAACCCAGCATTTTGCTGTGGAGGTATCACGCTGCTGGCCAGATTTCGACACAATCCATAATTTTCAGTACAGTTTTCCTCAGTTTCCCTCTCAATTCAGTCCTCTTTTAACGGAGGGATTCCTCCCATGTAGATTTGGTTCAAACTTTTCCAGATTGTAGAGAACACTTCAAAATATATATCAAAAGGGGTTTGCGGACTCATAGTTTTTAGATAAAAAATTGTAACTTTTTTCGGCCCTGTTTGCCCATTACTGAAAACTTATATAAAATTTTAACTTTTCAGTTTGAAATCTCAGCTTTGTGACCTTCTGTACAATAAACGGCTACTTTATAAATACATTTTGAAACAACGCATTGCACTTACTGTTTTTCTTATGAATATGTATGTTAACATGCTCAAGGCACTTATAAATAATTTGTTTTCATTTTTATCGTGAATAACATGGCAAAATAAAATACTAACCCAAAAATATTTTTATCATCGTTATTTACTAGCACTGGTTAAATCTAGCATTCTTTTCATAAATAGTATCCAAAGTATCCCCTTCAAACTAGGAACTAAGCAAACTGTTAATTTCTGCTGGTTCACGCGTGGCATCAGATTTCCTCAGAGTCCGAGAATCAACATTTCTTTAGGTGTGGTAGTTCCGAAAACGAATGCAAACGCACGCAATCGATCACGCTGACTCTCGTGGCAACATTTGTTTTGCAAAAACACTTCAGAATCCTAGTGGAAACCTGTATGAGGTGAAATAACCCACTTTGACTATTTTTGAATAAAATTAAACATTTCATAACTCAATCAAGATCTTACCATCTATCTACTCAAATTCACCTGCTAAAAACAATTTTTAACTTCAGAATAGTAAAATATATTCACCCACTTTGGAAGATTTCCAGAAATTCTTTCAAAACACAAAGTATTTTCATTTAAATCAAGATCATCACAAATAGATATGCTTTTTTCTAATTGTTCACAATTAATATTTGATGCACCATTCGCACGTACTTTTCCACTTTTTTGTAATTCATTAAAACAACTAAGTATTTCTTCCAGTGGTGTTTCATCATCCCTTTCATGTGAAAGATACATATCCAGTTGTTTTATTCCAAGACGCTCTAGTGTGCCGTCAATTTGTTTTGATATTCTTTCTTTTGATAATCTCTTACTATCGCCAATAAACATTGGATTATATGTTTTTGAACTCAATACAATATTACTTCTAACTTTTTCATCATATTTTCTCAGCCAATTTCCTATATATGTTTCACTTCTACCACATCCATAGCCATCAGCCGTATCAAATGTTGTTATACCAAGACGAACAGCTGCATACAACAATGAAGGAACCGAACCAATACCACCAGAATTCTCACAACCAAGTATTACACGAGATACTTCAATATCTGTGTTGCCAATCTTTTGGTATTGCATCATTCGTTTATCTCACCTAGATAAATCATTATTATCAGCGCATTTTCAGATCACAGCTGAGCATGTTCGATACAATGAAGAAGATTTTTGAACGAGTGTTTGATCTGTTTTATACATTAAACACCATAAAAACTTTGCTGTATAGGAACATGTAAAGTTCTTAAAAGATTCATCGACAAACTAATAGACATTTGATGCTTACCATATTTCACACTTAGTCATGTAGGAAATTTGATAACAACAAAATTAGATGTGAAAACAAGGTACAGACGATGAGCAGAACACCGTGCTTGAGAAGAAGTCGTACAGCTTATATAAGTAGAGAGACGATCCTATAGGTACGGAAGAATGTGTTAATAAAAAAATGTGCCAGAGTGGAAAACAACCAAACATCCGTTCTACTGTCAACAAACAGAGGAGTTCTTGACGGATCTATTCTTGGCCTTTGTTGTCACTCTTTTTATTCATTACATTCTTTTCTAAATGAAACATTTTAGACATAGTCTTTCGTTTTTTCAATTTCATACTACATTTAGCGGACAAAATTTAACAGTACTAAATAGGCATTCAACAATAACGATTATCATCAGAACGGTAAATCGGTAAATTACTGTTACCGTTGCATACTTAATACTAAACTTTTCAACTCGTTCAATGTTTCTTGAGCGAATTGTCAATTTTTTAACATTAGGTGGAATTAGTTTCTAAGCCCTTATTTCGTAAAACTTTGTTTTTATCACGTCAAGAAATTAACTGCTTGGTTCAGTATGGTCGATTACGTGTGTGTTTCCAAGGTTACTCCAGCTCATCGAGTACTGGTCCTGGTGCTTCAGAAAAATTCGTTACTACGCTCAGACCACCTAGAATCAACATCTCGCTTGTACAAAGAAAACTTTAGACTATCTAAGTATGAAAAACAATCGACAGATTTATATTTGTAGCTCCCAAGATAGCCATAGCTAGCATGTCGTGAAATTTCTTTCTGTCAGTACTGTCCAAGACTATAATAACTTAGAACACATTCTTTCTTCTCTGACAAATAGACAAATTAAAAGCAGAAATCCGTCAGACTTTTCCAGCATCCTCAAACGGATGGTTTTTCTGTCGAATAAAGATGTAATGTTGTTGCTATGACATGGATGCGTTTAGCATCTACTCTTCTTTGTACGGATCAGCACAATTCACATTTTATATCCGATGTGTAGCATTACTTACTGCACTCTGCACACTCTCTATCCAAGAAAGGTGGCAACCGCTAGGCAGTTGCGCGCTAGCTACAGGTACAAATATTTGCTCCAACGTGGTACAACTCCTCAAGTATAGAAGAAAATCGTTTTTTAGTAGAGCACAGTCGTACACTGAGAAAACGAAACTTTTTATTTTATAACTTATCACAAAAGAAAAATGGACATGGTATGGTATACAGTAAGATAAGAAGAAAAAGAGCTACGTTGAAAAAATGACTACAATAAAGGACAGTAAAGGACAATGATTGTTTTCTACATAGAGATAAAATCTACAACTCAGGAACGTTCCATTATGAGCGTTTTGCGCACTTGACAATTAAAACGAAAATCTTCATAGCAGATTTCGCGAAGTATAAGGACGAGACGACATTCTTTGTTGGGTCATTTTCATTGCTGGTCTTTGCCATACAAAGATCCAGTACTGGTGGAATCAGATACAATGAATACTTGAGAGTTGGCACTTTTCCATATATAGGTAGCTGTAGATGATTGTTCTTTGCAGTTAAAATTCTTTTTCTTGACAAAAAAAAAGGTATGGATGGGCTTTTCTTTGTTTTTTGGAAAAGAAATGGCGCCACTTTCCTTTTTCATAGGAAAGAAAAGGGTACAAGTGCCCTCATCAGAATGGAGAGCATATAATGCCCTACGAAATAATCCTGATTATATACATTTAACCGTCAATCATTCAATCAGTTTTGTTAATCCAAATACTGGGGTACATACGCAAAATATTGAAAATACATGGGTGTTAGCAAAAAGAAAACATAAAAAGCAAGGTGGTTTCAATCGACACTTATTACAAACGTATTTAGAAGAGTTCTGATGAGGGCACTTGTACCCTTTTCTTTCCTATGAAAAAGGAAAGTTGATAGTCGATAACGCCAGTGTCTTTTACTTTATCCATCATCGGATAAATGTGTGGAAGTGTATTTGCATAAGAACCACAATGTAAATGTCGTAATATAATTACAAATGTTCTATATCGCACCTCCATAATGTTATATTTGTTTGGATATTTATATTAAGAAATGTAATAATGGATAGTTGTTAGTTTATTAGTTCATATGACTAATATGTAACAGGATCGATCTCTATTGAATTGTTCTCATTAATATTTCGGAGAAGAAATGGCAAATGTACAAGCAGTTATACTAACTGGCGAGATGGAAGACTTGGATTTTTTGAATCTACAGATAGTACCGATGTGTATTTTCAATGTGATTGTTTATCCACTTATGATGGGATACGTAATATTTCAATGTTTTTAGGATGTCGGATGATATAAGGAGAAAGGTTGTGCAGAACGGTTGTTCGCTGGACGTTCATAAGTGGACATGTGTGAATATTGTCGTTCTGTAGAGAGAGAGAGAATTATGAAAAGAAGAAAATAACTAGTAATTCACTTATCTGACAAAGGTTCTTTTATATAAAATGTTTATCGAGTGTGTTTGTTGTGATGGTCGTATAGATCCAAAACATCGTCGTCCATTTCACGGCATAGGGATGCGTCTTTTTGTTTCGGCACGAAGAAATATGTTCTTGTCAGATTCTGGTTCAATGTGTAATGCTTGCCGAATGTGTTATTTGAAATGGCGTAATAATACAGAATTTGTTAGTATAATGCACATTCCTCATATATTTTCATCGATATAGTGCAATATTCAGCAGCCAAGTCAAACTATCTTTCATATAATAATACCATCGGATACCATTGTGTAAACTGGCAACTTCTCCTTTCTCATTCAGCTTTTTCAGTAATACTAAAGCTTTCTTATAATACTAGATTACACCTAAATCATAGTCTTCTATGTGTCCGATCTTTGCAATATTCCAATAATCATAATATTCTTTACATATTTTTATTCTTGACTGAGATTGAAGTCAAACACGCGTCCAGTGTAGACTTCTTTGACATCCGCTGTAAAAAGTCAGCTTCATCTTTTCACGAAAATACTATATAGGTTTGCTAAAATCGCTTATAAACTTTGTGCAGGGGTAGTCCGAAGGAGACTAGGAGAAATCGATGGGAAACTACTGTAAGCAGCTAAAAGCTTCATAAACTAAGAGCAATTACGCGAGAGAGAATGATATTGATCTATATCTACGCGTAAAAAATAAATTCTAAGCATAGAGTTTTTGACGCGTAGAATATGGTCTACGTTCTACGCATTTCAGTATTTTGGACGGTTTGCTTTATGTTCACATTTATAGTCAAGTGTTAGTAGCGGATCCAGCCAACGAGCGAGCGCTCGTGCCTTTTAACCAAAACTGTTTTTTCCTAGCAGAACTTCACTAGAACAATTTGTTTCTATGACAACCGCGTGTATCTCGCACTTTTATCATACACCGCAGGTATCAAAGAATAATTCGGCATCTGCCACTTTCACATATGACCCATTGTTTCTCTCCTATTTGGCTAGACACTAGCTAGCTGTTCGTTTTGATAGTAACATTATCTAAAAGTAACAACATTAGAGGTGGCTCTGTAGAATTTGACACGGGAAAGCTGCGCGATATTTCGCATCTTTGTACCCTTTCCAGAACATCGACCGATACGTCTATAGAGCCCTGCAGGTCACACACAATCTGTCCTAATCTGTTCTGCCTTGGCAGGTTAGGACAGGTTTAGGTTACGACTTCGCAGTTTAGGATAGCTTGTAGGTTACAAAAATTTTTACAAGACAGGTTACACTACCTCTACCCTGTGTTCAACCTGTAAAAAAAGCATTAAGCGCCATCTGTAAAGAGGAAGAAATAAGAACTCGAAAAATAGTTTTTGTTAGTCAAAAAAACTATTCAGTGCATCAGGAAGAGTATTGGAAACACGAAGACAGTCGTTGAATCCAGATGTTGTTGACGATATATTATTCATCAGAAATTTCAGAGGTGTGATCTTTTGCTGTTGTTCTTTGCTGCATAAATAAAGTAAATGAAAAGAATTTTATTTATTAGGAAGTATTCCAGTTTTACATTTTTCAGCAAAACACGCAATATGTTTTTTGTAGAGGATTTCAAGCTGCATCTTTTACAAGAAGATTGGTTCTTGGGAACGAAAGAAAAAAACGTTATGAAAAAAATACCGAGTGCTATTTAATGTGCACCACTTGTTCATATGTGATCTAAAAGAACTTTTATTACATCACATAAATGTTCCATCGATCAGAGCTCGTGATGTCCATGAATAGAGAACTGTGTAAACTATAAACAGGTAACGAATCCAGCGCTGTAACGCTTTTTGCTTATTTAAAATAAAATTCGGGAAAATTTTAAACGCCCTTAATAAGATGTACAATGGAAAAGTGTAGCAGAACAGTGTAACCTCGTATGATGTTTTGTTTACGGCGGCTTGGCGTAGTCAAGTTAAATAGAATAATTTCTTGGAGTTTCTCTGAAAGAAAGTTAGCTGATGGCGAACCCGGGTACTGAGAAGATCATTTGATATGGACTATTACTATTGTAATTGGCAGAAAAATCTATTCAGTGCAATCTAACGTTTCATAAAGTTGGCAGAAGAGATTTAGTCACAGAAGGGCGGTTATTATTCATCACAAGCGTGATATCTTCCAGTATTTATGCGTATGACTTTCGAGGTGAGTGAGACTTCTCACCTGACATATTATCGTCATTTTGTTGATTGTTTAATGAGACCAGGTCTCATACATTAACGACATTTTATTCTACAAATTACATTTCGGCACACGACATTTTTCAATAATCACTTCTATGATAAATTCTCTCCGTTGTCGATCAGTT